TATCAACTTAATTCTACACCGAGGAGCTGATGAGGTAGGATAGGACGATTAGGTTTGAGGTCAACGGACTGGCCGAGACCAAAAAATGCTGCCCATTTTTCTTTCACCTTTCTTTGATACCTACTGTTCACATCCCAGCACTTCCTCACATTCGATTCGTTTCCTTGCATCCATCACCTACGAGGGTCTTCGAACTTTTTTTTTGTAACGATTTGACAGCTGCATGAGGATTTCACCTTCATCGTGAATGTTGTTGAAAACTGCTCCACTCCATTCTTCCTGGAGTCCTGAGATAGCCGAGCTAGAGTATTACCACTTAGATTGCAGAGATTGGACTTTACTCGGACAAGTCCGGTATCAATTTCCTAGCTCCGGAGGGATGACAGGCATGGTAAGCCTGGAAATGGATCGAATCAGCACCGTGTTTGTGATGATCGGCATCGCTATCACTGTGCTACACTCCCTGTAGCCCATTCCAAGGAGCCCATTAGACGATGTTTATTAATGTCAGCCGTAGTAAAGGCAGCAATTCTGCCGTTGTCTCAATTTTCCATATTGAGCTAGAGCATCTCCACAGAAACAGGTGAGAGGAACGAAATTAGAGGAAGGAAATTCTTCATATTCTCAGTCAAGTTTTAAGAGGAAACCGTTATCGATAACATCGACTAGGAATACCACCGACGTATCCAGTACCTTTAATATAGGGCTAAAAAATTCACAAGCTTGAAAATCACCAAGAGGCGTCTTTTTCTTCAAAAATAATGTGAAATCCTGGTTAGCAATCATCAATTTGCGTCCTAACTTGCAACGGTCTACACTGTAGTGATAAGAGAACATCTTAGAGAGAGAAAAGTAGCAGTAGAAACTGCTGGGATTCGTAAGAACATCACCAACGTCTGTCCAGAAATCGCTTTGCAAGACCAACGCCCACACAGAATAGCAGCTTCATCTATAAACTAACAGCAAAGTATTACTTTTATAATGGCTTTGCATTCCCAAGTTCAAGGCCGCTGTTGGCTAATCTGACTGCATTGTGTTGTCTAGAAGCTCTCTATCCATATTAGAATTATTCCCACAAAGATTAACGGAACATTAAGTGGATAGAAGATACGTCAGCAAGTTTCTAAGGGGATTCAGCTCTTTGTTGTAATTCTAGTATCGCGACTCAAAAAGGCTTTCTGTGAATCAAAACAGACGCCGTTTTCGGAAGTGTGGACAACCGAAGCGTACAGTGCAAAATTACTTTGAGCTATGAAACTACTCCAGATCAAAATTCCACTAGTTTTAATTGACGTAAAGGCAGAAGTTCGACGAGGTGATTAAAATTCATCAAAAATGCTTACAGCCACCCTCTAGAAAATGGTGCGAAAAAATTAGGAAAACCGGAATCGCTGTTGAATTACAGAAACACTAAGCGTTAGCCATTTGGAACGAATGTTGGACGATTTCAACAACGCTTTTGGAAAGATTGCTTTTCGATCAGTCCGGAAGAAACTATGTCCACAAGAAAAGAGTCCGTTTCTGATGATTCATTCACAGTCTACGGAACGAATATTTTTAAATTTGTATATAGATCTGGAATGATAACTCAAAGTCAGAGTGATGAATAACTTAGTCCCAAGCTGGAGCGATAGGAAGTGAGTGACTTGTTTGTCTTAAAGGAGCAGCAAAGACATGGTAAGAAGCAAAGGGACTATCTCGCTCTATGGTCACCTTTCTGAATCTGAGAGACGATGAAAAATCGCCAACGTTAGCGTAAGCACAATCAATGTTCTAATCGAAAGCACGTCCTCAGAATTATTCTATACCATACAAGCTATGGAGAAAACTGGAAATTCTAAGCTCCACTACTGGATTAAAACAGTTGGTGGGCAGGATTTGCCAACGTCCTGTTATCCATGGTACTATAACCGTACACCATAGTGAGACTTCATCAAGAAGATCCTGGAAGCGAACTCCGCTCGAGTTATTAAGTGATCAACGAAAACCCTCTATGGTTTTGAGCCTATTAGACTTCATTGATGTATTGAATCTTTACGGTGTCACTATATTTCGTCTTAACACTACACTATTGAAATACCACGTACCATCCAATTCATGCAAAAATAGATAGCTTTTTAAATTTATTTTACATGATCAGTCTTCATGTCTACTGTGCGGGTCCTCGCATTTTCCAACTTTGGTTCGTTTCCTCGCATCCATTGGCCACGAACATCTTCCAACTTTAACGTGTGGCTTCGGCTACTGGTTGAGGAAAATAAATAGTAGAGAAATCATTTTTAAAAGTCGAATCAAAGACAGACAAAGCAAACAATGATCAGATGTGTTTTTGTTTAAATTTTGCGTCATTTATAAACCCTCTGTGATCTTGAAGATCGTCAATGATAGATGCGATTTCAGAACCGGAAGTGTTGCGCCGACGTCGGCGTTTGCTTGGTGACTTCGGAACTGAACGGTGACCGTGATCACTACTTATTGTCTGTACAGAGTTGGAAATAAAACAAAAAAAGTACAAAAACAAAAGCGACTGTTATGATGTTGTGTTCAAAGGTAGTCAGATAGCATGAGAATTTCGTCTTCAGAATGAACAACGTCAAACGGCATACAAAGGCAACGTGAAACGAAAGTTCCACACCCATTGACACAGTGGAGACATCATGACCTCTATACGAGTCATATGATGGAAAACAGTAGTTGCTTTCAACTTTAAATCTACATATCTCATCTCATAGTGAACTTTATTAACTGCAATAAATTCTATTAGCATCTACAAACCCTTACCTACAAGACACGTGCTTTCCATGTTTTCTTATGCCACCATCGACTTCTGATGTTCTAGAACCCCAAAACTAATATTTCCACGTTTTGTGTTGAGGTTCGTATGTCGAACATGAAAGCAATTGAGAAAGTAGTATTTCCTCCAAGAAGAAAGGATAGTGTTCTCCGATGTGGTTAGTCACTGGGCTACCACGACTGTAAATTCCAAAATTTGTATGTTTTGAACCTTTCTCTTGGGAATTCCGTTTTTAAACCGACTTCAAATCAAAGCAACACTTAAAAAACGTATTTTTACTCTGTTAATGTAGAGTATCTCCTTTGGAGCTGTAATCCTTTCAACTGCTCCAGTGCTCTACTAACGGGAACTGATCGCCTTTCACCGAAAGATCACCTTCGCGAACATGTGGACGATTAGATAATCCCTTCGAAAAACAGCAATGGTATTTAAAGCGATTAGGGTTACTTAACATATTTTTATATCCGGTAGGCCTTCAAGTTTAGCACATTCTACACAAACTAAGCGGTGTATATTCTACACAAGTGTGCTTGACAGCACGAGTGACAGGTATGAAGCCTATATGGGTTACTCTCTTTCTGTTGGGTTATTTTGGGTGTACAGGAACTTTTTCCTGCACTTTTTATCAATTGATAGGTCATCCAGCACAGATCTTGTGATGGGCAGACGCTCCCTACTCTGCATTAAAGATAAGTATACAAAAGACTTCCTCCGAACAAGTTTATAGACCCACGATTTGATTAGCAGTTGAAACATAGAACAAGCTGAGAGACAGGCGAAACGAAAGACCCGCATGGTATGGTGGTGAACGCGTTAGCCTCCGGAAACGGCTATAGCGTGCTTGTCCCCCACCACTGACACCTACGATCGGGAGTTTTGCAAATATCTCAGCATCATTGTGGTTGTACCACAACTGAAACATATTTCAGTTGTAATCACTATAATTAGTCATAGTCATCGGATATAATGTGCGGGTACAAAACTTCGCGAAATAAATACAGCATAGGCTGCAAATCATCTCCAAATGCTGATAGCAATGCGTTTGTACTCAAAAGACCGACTTTCTACAAACCTCGGCTTAGATAGTTCATAAATTTATCTATATTATCTTATAAACTGAACTTTTTGAGCTGATGCGAGGTTGGTATAGGTCTTCGCTGTCGTTGTCTTTGTTGTTGGTGTTGTTGGTCGATGGCTGACGTTTCGGCAATTTCGCTTTCCTCAGAGCCTGGACGTATTTTATATAAGAATACTTTAATTATTCGGTGGAAAAAAGGCTAAAGTATTACTGAAGATTAAGCTTTTAAAGTAGGGCCAGTCCCACTCGTAACATCACGGTGAGCAGCCTTTATGTTCAATATGGTGTCTATTATATAAAATACGTCCAGGTTCTGAGGAAGGCGAAATCGCCGAAACGTCAGCCATCGACCAACACCAACAACAACGACAACGACAACGAAGACCTATACCAACCTCGCATCGGCTTAAGAAGATCAGTTTATAAGATCATATAAATAAATGTGTTTGTATGTTGGACCATAGTAACACGAAGTAATTAGTAGCATACATACTATTCATATCCAAAGAGGGATACAGAAACCCTCGCTTCCTCTAGTTATCGAAAAATTATCGTTTATTGTAAAAAAAAAACCAGTGAGTCAACAAAGGCTGGCAGCGATGCTAAAAACCACACAGGTGTTATGTGTTAAAAAAGGTTTCAATTCTGCAAAATATCTCCAAATTCCCTGTTCTATTTGCGGATTACAGTACGCAACAGATCATGTGGTATGGTTCTTGCTGACTCATGAATTGCCTTTTGCTGAATCCTAAGCAGAGGTTTAACAGGCTGATTTCTTCTAAGATTGCTTTAAGGGCTGCAGGCTGAGTCAAGCGTGCTGACGTAAACAGAAAATGTGTGCTCCTCAAGCACCAAGCATCCTAACCAGTAAGTGCTAATGGTTTGGAGAGTATAGAATGGTAGGTAATATGACACGTTTTCCTCCTCCCATCCTCAATTAACAATAAACGACATTTCAGTGGGGAACGTTGCTCGAGAAAACTCTTAGAATTTTACAGATTATAACATTTATTAATTACTACCACGTGTGGAAATGAATAAGAATTGCCACGAAAAACAGAAGCATCCGATCAAATATTCCTACAAAATTCAAAGATTCGCAAGCCAATCAGGTTATCCCTCAACTCATCACATTTTAGTAAATGACTGCGTCGTTATTTCATTGTCTTCTTCTTCTATACTTTCGTCTTCATTTTTCATGTCAAAGAGTGACGTGCTCCATCGATGGGTTATCGGTTTAAAACTGAAACATAGGCAAATAAATTACAAAAAAATTGCATAAAAACCTTAGTTAAAACCATTTTTAGTAACGGGGAACGAAACTAAGCCGTCCTATAAAACCTGTGAAACATGAAAAAACTTGCTGTACTCACGTCCAGCGAACAGGCTGACCGTTGTGCGGCACTGAATGCTCTAGAGTGCTGGCACTCCAGTCGAACACAGGCGTCGGGTTATGAGTTGGGCCAGCGATTGCGGTGAAAGACAGCGATTCGATGAGCTGAGAGTTCGTTACCTAAAACTTGTTGTCTATCATCAACAAATAATAGTAAGCCAGTAGAAATCAGCCCGTCGTCTACAAACTGAAAGATGTGAGGAAAGACGGAGGTGCGCCCACGTCGACTGCTTTGAATTGCACTCTTTGAAAATATGGTGACTTTAAATCGATTTCATGATAACAAATTCCTTTATCTTGCGTGCGAAAATGCTAACCAATATGAAGACTATGTGGCTTTATTATTTAGTGGTTCATCCTATTATTTTCTTTATCTTGCATGACGCGTCATCACATCTTCTCTGCAGATCCCATCAATTCTTCCATTCGATTCGTTTTCCTTGTACACATTGTCCACGAAGGTCTTCGAACATTTCGCGTGTTGTTTCGGCTGCTTCCTGAGGATTTCGTCTTGTTTTCGAATGCCGTAGAACGCCGATCGAGTCGATTCTCGTTGCAATCATACACAGCCGAGTAAAGGCGTTTCCACAGAGAGCAGAACATTGGCGACGTGGTCGATGAAGCAGCTTACTTCCTGATAAACTAGATCACCAATCATTGTGCTGCCCTCTCCCTCCATGCCTATTATCTGTAAAAACTAAACGGTAATAGTTCTCAGGATCGACTTTCTCCTAACTTCGACATTAGAAAATGAATGTGTCGTTTTCTTGTTCAGCAATCGCGAGGTTTTTAAACAGCAAACATTTACTTCCATAGAAGAACACAATACAATACAACACTAGCTGACGTTTCGGCAGTACCGCCTTCTTCAGAGTCGCTTTTTACGTGACTTCCCATGAGGAAGTTTAGAACAGCTGATTATAGTCGCATGTGGTTGACGACTGTACCATCCCACATCAAAAATCGATGCGAACATACGGGATCAGGTCGCGTATGACCTCCGGGCACTCGTCCCTGCTATTTATTGTAGGGTTTTTGGCATTTATCCAAAAAGCCCCAAGAAGTTTTCGCGCTGGTGTTTTAGTCTCCTGTGCAAGGATATTGACTTTTACTTCAAAATCGTCTCCGCTATGCTTTTGTATCCCATGCGTGCCTAGTGGGGTGCTTCGTTTTAGTTTTCGTTTGCCGTCTAGGTGTTCTTTTATACGGATAATCAAAGGTGTGCCCGTTTCGCCAATATATTCATCTCCGCAATTATTACAAGAGATCAGGTATATCGTACCTGAACTCATGCAATCACCGTTCCTGCCGTAAGGGCAAATTACGTAATTTGCTGTTTCACACAGACGGTAATACAGGCGGTTACGAACTAGCTGGCCCCTAAGAGTACTCGGTGGAATTTCAACTACGTTTACCGAATTCTCCAAATCCACACTTCTTGAGCTGCTGGTTTAAAACCATCGGCTATCTCTCAACTAAAAGTTGACTTACGAACATGTCCCGTCTTGTACTTGCTTATAAAAACTCATAAGTTAGTATCCAGCGATGATCTTGCGTCTACCGATACATCACTATTTAAGGTTAGACCAATCATCAGTTGTGTAGACGGGCCAACAGATAGGATAACCTGATTTCTACGCCTGCAACTAGCCCAGTTGCTTAACCACATTACAGCTCACCTCACAAACACCTAAATGTTCCTAGAACGTCTATATAACGCGTACGTGATGGAGTCCTTCGATGTTACCGCACTGTACACCAACGTGTCGAATGACTCCGCAATGCAAGTCATCTTCGAATTTCTTGTTGAACATGAAGGAAGAATAAATATGCATGGCTTGCCCATCCAGCAGCTAATGGCTCTATTAAAGGAGTGCCTAAACTGCTCGATTTTCACATGGTCTGGGAAATATTTCGCGCAAATAAGGGGGTTGGCAATGGGACAGCGATTGGCACCAAGCCTTGCCATTGTGTTTATGTCTAAGATAGAAGCCTCTGTCCTCGATCTCTAGCCACTACTATACTGCAGATATGTAGATGATTGTTTTGTCGTCTTCTCTACGCAGGAGGAGATGGACAAATGCTTTGAATTATTGAACGAGCAGTCCGAGTACATAAAGTTCACCCGGGAGAAACCGAGAGAAAACTGGCCTCCGTTTTTGAACGTTCAAATAAACCTATCAAATAGCGGTTACCTGACAAAGTGGTATCGAAAGCCAAGTAACAAGAACATCCTTGTTCATTTCCTTTCTTCCCACCCCTCACACACAAACAGGGCGATTGTGAGAAACATGTTTCGAACAGCCACCTCTGTGTGCACAACCAGGGAACTAAAGGAAGAGTCGCGCGACTTGGCTCGGCAAATAGCCATCTCCAATGGCTACGAAGTAGTAACCCCACGAGATAAGTTTACAAGGAGAACAACGCGCCCACGCGAAACACTTGGTCAAAAGAAAATCCCGTTTATGTTGCCTTTTACAAGCGATAAAGTAAGCGTAGCTATAAAACAATGCTTAAGAAGGGCAAGTCTAGAGGAATCGGTAGCGATAGTTGAAATGCCACCGAGTACTCTTAGGGGTCAGCTAGTTCGTAACCGCCTGTATTACCGTCTGTTGTGAAACAGCAAATTGCGTAATTTGCCCTTACGGCAGGAACGGTGATTGCATGAGTTCAGGTACGATATACCTTCTCTGTTCTGTCTGTTCGTGACGCTTCGAAAACACAAATCGACTGAAAAGTGGAAGGGGATGTACTACGAATGAGGACGTGCCATCTAAATATCTTAATACTCGAACCATGTCACACTTTAGGTTTCCGGTGATAACCGAGCGAGTTAACGAAAACCACAGGTATTTAGATGGTCCGTTTTGGTATTTTATGATCTCCAGAACATTTACTATTCAGTAACTCCCTCGACCGACTTTCTATTAACCTCAGCATTGATCCGGTTATTCTTCGTGTTCTTGTTAATCAAACGCGAGGTGTTACTTTTATTCTTTATTCACGAATAAACTGACGTTTCAGTGGATTTTGCCTTCCTCAGGCTCTGAGTAATTATGGAAATACGAGGAATTACTTGATCAGTGCCGAGGTTAATAGAAAGTCGGTTGTGGGAGATACTGCAAGATGTACCAGCGAAATACTAGCGACTTGTAAAAGAAGCGCTGTCACTGAGACAAAAGATCGTCTTAGCTCGACAGTCAATACACTTTCTCCGCCGCTGTCTAAAACATCGAGTCGTTCCGAACTTCATCAAACGAAGGCGACTACACGACGTATGCGGACTACCAGAGGACAGCCACCGGGTACTGGACATCGAATTGCGAATACTACGCACCTGAAACTTTCAAAGAAGATACAGCTCCAACCTCACTGGAGTGCAAAAATGTGGAATGCGAGAGGTACGAAAGCTGATAATGCTGAAAAACATAAGACTATCCGTTAGTGATTAGGGTAGAGAGTTTGCCGTAACTCCCCATCAGTTAGATGTTGGGAAAACGAAAAACCATCTTGAAGATGCTTCGCTTTATCGCCCATCATCTGAGAAGGGGTTTAAAAGTAAAAAAAAATCAAAATGGCAATGGCTGCTGGTTTAAAACCATCAGTTATCTCTCAACTAAAAGTTGACTTACCAACATGCCCCGTCTTGTACTTGCTTATAAAAACTCATAAGTTAGTATCCAGCGATGATCTTGCGTCTACCGATCCATCACTATTTAAGGTTAGACCTATCATTAGCTGCGTAGACGGGCCAACGGACAGGATAACGCGGTTTTTAGCCCTAATATTTACCCAGCTGTTGAAACTCATTCCAGCCCATCTTAGGAATGCCCAGATATTTCTGGATCGTCTACGCTGCGCAGCCCAGCAGCGCGTACGTGATGGAGTCCTTCGACGTTACCGCCCTTTATACAAACGTGTCGAATGACTCCGCAATGCAAGCCATATTCGAACTCATTCTACAACACGAAAGAGAAATAAACATGTATGGTTTCAAGATAGAGAAGTTTATGGCACTCCTAAAAAAATGCTTGAGCTTCTCAACCTTTAGATGGTCCGGAAAGTACTACGCTCAAATAAGAGGGTTGGCAATGAGACAACGACTGGCATCAAGTCTTGCCATTGCGTTTATGTCTAAGGTGGAAGCACCGGTGACTGATCTCGAGCCGCTACTCTACTGTAAATATATAGATGACTGTTTTGCCCTTTGCTCAACACAAGAGGAAATGGACAAATGTTTCGAGTTGTTGAATGCACAGCAAGAGTATATCAAGCTCACCCGAGAGAAACCGAAAGAAAAATGGCTTTTATTCCTGAACGTCCAAATTAACCTGTCAGAAAATAGCTACGTTACGAAGTGGTACTGAAAGCCAAGTAGTAAAAACATCTTGGTTCATTACCTCTCCTCTCACCCTTCTCATACGAAAAAGGCGCTTGTAAGAAACATGTTTCGAACAGCAACCAACGTGTGCACGGGAAGAGAGCAGAGAGAGGAGTCCCGGAACTTGGCACGACAAATAGCTATTTCTAATGGCTACGAAACGGTAGCTCGGGATAGGTGTAGGGAAAATCATAGGACCCCGAACGATAACTCTAACAGTAGAAAGTTCTCGTTTATCCCACCCTTCATTTCAAATGAAGTAAATGCAACTATAAAAGGCTGTTCAAGAAGGGTGGATTTGGAGAATTCGGTAAACGTAGTTGAAATTCCACCGAATACTCTTAGGGGCCAGCTAGTTCGCAACCGCCTAGACGACCGTCTATGTGCAACACAAAATTGCACAATTTGCCCTAATGGTAGAGACGGTGATTGCATGAGCTCGGGTATAGTTTATCTGATTTCCTGTAAGGCGTGCGGAGACGAATACGTTAGCGAAACGGGCACACCCCTCTGTGTCCGCATAAAAGAACACCTAGCCGGCAAATGACAACCAAATACCCCACTAGAAACGCATAGGACCAAGAGACATAACGGGGAGGACTTTAAAGTACGTGTCACGATCGTCGCACAAGAATCGAGAACATAAGTGCGCAAAACTCTCAGGTGTTCTGGATTAATTCCAGAAATCGGAAAATGAACCGCAGAGAAGGATGCCTAATTATTACGCGTGATATTGGGCAGTATATAAGCCTGTTATTTAAGGGGTTGGACACATTGCGCTTCCATGTGAATTCTGTGCGGCTGGTTTTCATGCGACATACTCAGTGGAAGCCTCGTAAAAAGCGGTGAGTGTGCAAAGAAGCTATTCTGTGTTCAATGTGATTGAAATCTTGGTTTAGCGTTTTCTTTGTTTGGTAATGAAGGTGTTTGGCCGAATTGATTGCTGTCAACTTAACTTTTCCAGGCTTTGAGGAAGGCGAAATCCGTCGAAACCTCAGTTTATTCGTGAATAAAGAATAAAAATAACACCTCGCGTTTGATTAACAAGAACACGAAGAATAACCGGATCAATGCTGAGGTTAATAGAAAGTCGGTCGAGGGAGTTACTGAATAGTAAATGTTCTGGAGATCATAAAATACCAAAACGGACCATCTAAATACCTGTGGTTTTCGTTAACTCGCTCGGTTATCACCGGAAACCTAAAGTGTGACATGGTTCGAGTATTAAGATATTTAGATGGCACGTCCTCATTCGTAGTACATCCCCTTCCACTTTTCAGTCGATTTGTGTTTTCGAAGCGTCACGAACAGACAGAACAGAGAAGGATTTCGTGTCCGTGAATTCGATCTCAGCTGAAGGTTTTCCGTATTCCATCTTCATTAGCGTGTTGATATTTGGTTGACCGAGGTTACTCCTCTGATTTCGAGATAGCCGTGCTACAACGTGCTCCTTGTTGACCGTTGTGCATCAGAGGTTTTCGCCGCCTTGAGATCGGTATTTAGAATTAATAGAACTAGGATTAGAATAGAATTTAGAAAAATTGTAAAAAAAGAAAGGCAGAGATTGTTGAAATTAATCGGCCGATTGGTAAAAGACGAGAAAGCGGGCTGAATGGCACTATCGAACAGATTTGGATTCATTGTATGATCCGCGATAGAGTCCTATGTAGGCTTAGTAGATACCTTACGACAAAAAGCTTTATTTGTTAGGAAACCAGTATTTGCAGTGTAAATCTAACTTGAAAAAGGAACAAAACAAGTACATTTTGCAAGATATTATTAAATCATTGATAGCGAAGTTAAGTGGAAGTCGGTCCTTCAAACCAGTTAAGCTCCATGGTTAATTGTGGTCAATTTTAAAGGAACTCTGATACAAAAAAGCCAATTAAAAAATCTTCCCAATGATTAGCTCCAACTGTCCACGGCCGAAATAAACATATATCGTCATTCGAAAATTCTTAGCAAAGCTTTCTATCCACAACCTCAAAGAACTGGGAAAGTCATGCAGTGTCAAATTTTGCAGTTTTGCCAACTTTCCCCACTTTTTCGAACACCTTCTAGACCAATTTAAATAATTATTTTCAGGATTTCCTAAGCTAATTCTGATTAAGAGTACGATTTCAACCAGAAAAAAACAGAAACATGAGCGATCACCTTCATGTCTGTGGCTCCATGATCTCGATGACCAAGTGCCGGGAATGGATAAGTGCCGTTTGACGGGTTTAGATCGCTCCGGCAGGAGATAGCATTCTCGGCCGAATACGGTGGATCACACTCACACTTTGACAATGGATCCTTTGTATAGTTGTTCGATCTGAGTATGGAAGGTTAGCGGAGCCTAACAGCTTAAAATGTAGAAAAGAATCAATTAATCAGTCAAGAAACTTCTTGAATGTTCCAAGTGTTAGATTTGCATCAAATTCGTACCATACGCATATTCATTTTGTTCCCAGCGAAGTTATTTTTGGCTACTTCAACATTTGGACCATAAGTTTATCTATAACGTTAATGATACCAGAGGCACCTCATTAACCGGATCATGCTATCCATATCCACAACCGAACCATGATCTCTCTGGAATATCAAAGCCCGTGGGGTTTTGTCGTAGCTGAAATCAGTAAAACCTTTGACGGTCAGTCAAAGCAGAATAAAATGAGCCATGTTTTACTAGATGTAAACTAAAGTTGTTAATTTCTAAAATAATCAGAACGGGGCTTGGTTACTTACAGACATTGAAGCGATGGAGGACAAAACGTTCGGCTTTCACCAATCTCTAAGAAAATCGCCAATTCACAAAATTTCATCAAGCATTGTAGAGAATGTTGAATGCATATTCCACTCATATAAACTGCGGTAACTTCCTAATGTATGAAGTTATCATTTTTAACCTCACAAACAGATATTCTATCACATTTCGCACGCCAGAAGGAGAGGTTAGCCGAGGGCTGGGGTCGAAATAAAGACCGCGTGTATATTGCAATTCATCTTTAAGTACTACGCTATACGCTCCTTTGATAAATGTTAGGACCTCATAAACCTACGTGTACCAATCACCGAACTTCTTCACCATTTTCTCAGTATCCGACCACTCAAATATTTTCGGGAAATATCTGAAAAAGAAAACGATTGTAGAGTGAGACACTCCTTTGAAGATGAGAACTTTCGTAAAGAAAGAGGAAATTCACTCACGGACTATTGTAACTGGGCCAGTAGGTGTTTCGGAAAAGCGCGTGGGTCATATCAGCATGTGCTGTGTGGTTCCTGAAAGATATTTTGCTGTTGGTCTCAGAGAAAGTAGAAAACAATGCGGAAAGAATGTTTTAAAAAAAGGCCGGAAAATCCACACGGAAGTTGTTCAAGCACGTGAAGCAGTCCATGCGATGGATGATCTCGCCGATTTATCTTTAACATTTTGTAGTCAAGAACGTTCCATTGATTGTTATAAGTGCCTGAATTGAACCGAGAGAACACTTTCGCCCACTGAAGCCCCGAAGACGATGTTCGATGAGCCACCTAGGAATGACTATGTATGACTATGTTTGCGATTATTATAGTGTTGTGTACAATCGAGACTAGAAATGAAACCAGTATTTCCAACCTGTGCTCTGACCCAACACAGTACACTTGTTGGCGTTATATATTTATATAATCTTTCATTGTAATTGCTTATCGTGGTCTCTAGTATCGCTAGACGAGATGATGTCAAGACAAAGTCGTCGATGGACGAGATTGAGCCTGAAACAACAACGAACTGAAGCAACATTCTCCCAATTTCGACAGCACTCGCAACAGAACACAGGACTGGATACCGTAACCGCACAATAATACTAAAACAATAACTCGTATGAAATGCTGAGATATTTGCAAAACTCCGGACCACAGGTGTATGCAGTGGGGAACGAACACGCGTTGTTGTCCTTACCGGGGAGCAGCGCACTTCACCACTACACCATCCGGGTCCTTCATTTTGCCTAAATAAAAGAGTTAACTCGTATGAAATGCTGAGATATTTGCAAAACTCCGGACCACAGGTGTATGCAGTGGGGAACGAACACGCGCTGTTGTCCTTACCGAGGAGCAGCGCACTTCAACACTACGTCTTGGTCGTCTCAGTGCCAATGATCTGAGTCGGTAGTCCACAGTTGCCCGTCTCCTCGATATGTCTTTGTCTTTGTATCGAAATATTATAACTAAGCTTTGTGCTAGCCGATAATGACACCGGCTGCTGCAGGATGGATTGACCAGCAAAAACAAGTTGTTATCAATGGACATCCACTATTATCAACAACCAGAATCCTGTATAAAAGAGTATCGCCGCGTGAAAATGCCTCATTCAAAATATGCTCCACTGAGGAAGCTCTGACTCGATACGAACAGGAAGTTACCATATCGAGGAGCTGAACAACTGTGAGCCACAGACTCTAATCATTGGCACTGACAAAGACGAAGACGTGGAATCGTTAGCCAGGTTATTTATCAATCTTGTGTAGGTTTATCAAGGAAAGGCTACAAGCTGTCTAGCTACAAACAACTTATGATTTCTACGAAATTTCATGCACAAAGGTGTATTGCGCGTGCACCTCGGGTCATCACTGCGCAGTACGACCATGAAAGAATGCGTTCAGAAAGTGGATTAACATGGTTTTGTTTGAAGATCTTAGAACGGTTAATAACTTCCTACACATGTAAAAAAAAGTCTTCTACTCTATAGACACACAGTTCATCACCCAATAGGTTTTGAAACCTTTTGGTCAAACGCTGACTTAGCACTTCAACAACAACTTGATTAAATAAACAATCAACTTTTGCGACCCGATACCAACTGCTAGTTAGATATCAAACCACCACTGACCAGGATAACCACTAAAAGAGTAACTGTGTCCCGGATCACTGGTTGCAAACGTGTAACGCTTTTGCATTCGAAGCATGGACGAGTACGACGCCCATGTGACGTGCGAAAAATAGATGTCCGAGAAGTCGGGAAGCAACTGAAATGTACTGATGGTTAGCCACCAGGCTTATCTATGTAGTTTACCGCACTACAACATTTTCACTCTCTTATTCATTTTCTTAACACTTTAAGCACTGCCACGACCGACTTTCTATTAACCTCGGCATTGTTCAAGTGATTTTGTTCGTATTTTTGTTGAGCAAACGCGAGGTGTTATTATTCTTTGTTCACGATTAAGCTGACGTTTCGGCGGATTTCGCCTTCCTCAGAGCCGCTTTCTATGAGGTTTCCACTAAGTATGTCACGTAGAGACCAACCGCACAGAAATCACGTGGAAGTATAATGTGTAATACATTATACTGTAATATTATACTGTAATGTGTAATACATTATACTGTAATATTATACTGTAATGTGTAATACATTATACTGTAATATTATACTGTAATGTGTAATACATTATACTGTAATATTATACTGTAATGTGTAATACATTATACTGTAATACATTATACTTCCACGTGATTTCTGTGCGGTTGGTCTCTACGTGACATACTTAGTGGAAACCTCATAGAAAGCGGCTCTGAGGAAGGCGAAATCCGCCGAAACGTCAGCTTAATCGTGAACAAAGAATAATAACACCTCGCGTTTGCTCAACAAAAATACGAACAAAATCACTTTAAGCACTCATATCTCAACCACTATCGCAAAATCGCATGGTTCTGTTATATACCACTCGTGAGGTTCTGTTCGGCTTACTTTGAGAGAATTGCAGATGAAGACAGTTAAGGCAGATACAATAAGTAAATTGAACGAATTCAATCAATCCAAAGACATGGTATTATTGAATTCATTAAGTCGGAAGTATAAAATACTCAATAAAAGAGAAGATAAAGCTCTCGGCGTTGATCAATCCTTGAGGGATGCGCCATGCATAAGACTTCATTGAGCATCGTTTGGTGGTGATTGAAAGCATATCTGGCCTTCACAATAACTCAAGGTGGTCTCCGATGTGTCGAGCCAGTGTTTCTATCCTATCAGACAAGTCTGTAGCAATTTGCTGACCTCGGAGGGATGGAAGGCTTGGTGGACCCATAGGCACGGGCATCGATTCCACGTGTGTGTTGTAGGGGCCTCCGACCACTGCGAGATACTCAATACAGAGGGAACTATCCGAAACTAAGAAGTCAAGTCGTATTAATATGTAATAAAAGTGAGGAAATGGTGGATGCCTCTTCATTTCACACCTAAATTCCGATGTGAATTGATTTCCACCCACAGAATGTTAAAATAATAACCGTTTTCAACTTCGTACTAATACTATATATACTAATATAATACTGCCTCCGTTCATGGTGAATTCTATGAATTGAAATGAAACCCTTTAGAGTCTAGAGATCTTTGCCAACGAGGAACGAGTGAACCGAGAATTCCTGTCTGTCTCTTTTCGTTTTCGTCGAGACACGTCCTTCGAACGGAGAAGGAATTGAAGAAGCAGGGTTTCGTTCAATGGACGTGTAGTCGGTATTTGCGGCCTCCGAATTGCTTTAGCGATTTCAAAACTCAAATTTCTTTTTCAATTACAAAACAACAATGTTATACCTTTTTATTTTCTGCCTACTATAATTTTGCGGCATGGTACTAAGCGAAATACAACCACAACGTTGCTGAGATATTCGCAAAACTCTGGACCGCAGGTGCCTATGGTGGGGAACGAACGCTCTATTGTCCTTTCTGGGGACTAGCGCGTTCACCACCACACCATGCGGGTCTTTTGTTTCGCCTGTCTCTCAGCTACCTGCGGTCCAGAGTTTTACAAAACAACATTAGAAATGGAATGACGCTACCGAAAATTCAGATTTACAACAGGAAATGAGCAAAGTCTCTTATAAGAATCACCATTATTTGGCCAAAATAGTTTCCCTCTTATAAGGAAGTTCATCACGTTCCCGACTCTAAAATGCTCCAGCAACCGAAGAGTTGCTGAATATTAGTAGTTGTTGAAAAATCAGCTTAGCACTCATTTAAATGGTCTTCCAGGTTTGTGATATTTTTTCTTTGGAGTCACGAACAACCAAAATGCTCCAAAGTCGCTACTGTAGGCACTCAGAGACCACCTGGATAAGACGAATTGCGACGGCGGGTTTTTTTTAGGACAATGGCCTAACAGTGGAGTTCTGGTATCCGGCTACTCATAGCTGGTTTCAGAATGGATATGATGAATCTCTCCTTTGTTTAAATAGCCTTGCTAAGGGAGTGGACCACTTTTCGTGCATCATAATTCGAGACCTTGGAACTCCACCAAGTCATGAAGAGATGGGAAACCGTTAGTGATAAGATGGGAAAGACACAAGGTATATATTGAACAAAAGACAGAAGATGGAAATATTTCCCTATAAATGAAGCCCTCATTCTCGATCACACTAGTTTTTCGATAATTGTCGATCATTTTTCAGCAGCTACAGTATTTGAGAACTTAGGGATTGAATGGACATTTGGAGATGAGCTTCGCTTACCAAAAATACGACAATGTCAGATTACAAAGGTTTTGACGCAAGCGACGCTGCCGCAAACATCGATAACACACTCAGAGATATCACCGTTTGCTGGACGAAAGCTCGTCTGCTCAATCATTTCACTGTCGGAACACGAGCCTTGACGAAAATAAATTGAAAGGACGATTTTTGGTCTTCAAAAACTCAGAACTCCATCTCGGCAAAATAAGGCAGTTTGTGGCTTGTTGATTAGAGATTGTGTGCTTCCTTATCTCAACTAACAAATTCACTTTAAATTAAATAATGAACGCTTTAATAAAGTGTAAAGAATAAAGCGTACAGCGTGAATGAATCCCTGAGAGATGCGCCACGTATTCGACTTTATCAAACATTATAGAAGTGATCAAATGGCAAAAATGCAGGGCATAACAACCTATCAACTCAATGCTTTTATCAACACTGAGCATTCCTCTGGCACAAACCTAACCCAGAGGGAAAGAAGACGTGGTTTACACTAAAAGCGTGGTAGAACTAATGACCATGTGTGTATAGCAGAAAACGTCTAACCACTATGCAATATCCACCCCTCTGAATGTGTTAGTATGGAACAGGAAACGTAACCTTAACGAGTGCAGAACAGTGGCCAGTGCCAGTGAGAAGACTAGGCGGAGTTTCCGGTCTACCGAACTTGGCTGCCAAATCTTCAATATCACCAGCTAATTGAATCAAGCTAAAATGATTCCATTTGATGTATAATATTCATCCACCTAACCACCAAAGTAAGGATTTTAAAGAATGTGTTAGTGATGACCAACACATACTAGAGAGGATGTGTGACGAGTTCCTCAACAGCCCATGAGCGCCCTAGCGTGCCTTCGTACCCATCGATCATTCCTAGTAGTTGGTTCAGCGTCATATTCACCTGAAAAAGAACGCAATGAAAGTAATTTTGTCGAATTTGATTGCAGTTTTAGGAACAAGGATAAAGCTCCTGGCGTTGATCAACACTGAAGGATTCACCGTACATTCAACTTCATTAAGCATCGTTTGGAGGTGAATGAATGCATGTCTGGCCCTTACAATGACTTTCAGTGGTCTACCGATGCATCGAGGGGGTGCTGCTATCCTCCTAGACAAGTCTGGCACCAATTTACCGACCCCGAAAGGATGGAAGGCTTGGTAGGCCATGGTCACGGAGACCGATTCCACGTGTGTTGCGGGGCGCCTCCGACGACTGCGCCACACGCGCCCATGGGATTAGTGCCAGAGAATTCAAAATGCTTTGAATCAATTAAACAAGTAAAATAATATAAGTGAGAAAAAAGAATGAATGAGGGTTTCTAAAATAGGAAGCTACAAAGCAACAGGGAAAACGAAACTGAGTCACTCAGTATAAATGAAGTACCAATTCCGGTCGATCTCTTACTTTACGGATTTCCAGAGCAAACCTTAACAATTTCGCTAGGATAGCAGGTTCTTCGTCAATGTATACACCATTGCTTCAATAACTAATTCACTTTTGTGAAATATTTTTACAAGACCCCTGTTTCTCAACAAAAAATATAGCAAAAAATATGTCTCTTGTTCGCGACTCTTGTTATTCTAACCTTTGGTGCAAATTTAGAGCAAATTTTTTTACTCTATGTTCGCACCTAAAATAATTTCTTAGAATGAGCTAATTTTTTTCGTTCAATTAACGCCCTTCTTCATACAAACGTAGGCGTTAACTGACCAAAATAAAAATTGCCAGGAAGGGGTAGCGCAGTGGTTAGTGATGTCGTCGATCAGGAAGCAAAGGCTCTAGTTCCTCCTCCAAAACGCTCTCCTCCAACGCACGTGGGAACGACTATGCTCGACTACCCTCCAAATTTCAAGGAAGACCGACTCGACCAGCATTCTACGGCATTCACAACGAAAAGGAAATCCTCAAGTAGCAGCAGTCGAAACAACATACGAAACATAACTTCAATGATGCTGAGATATTTGCAAAACTTCGGACCGCAGATGTATGCGATGGGGAACGAACGCGCTATTGCCCTTTCCGGAGAGTAGCGCGTTCACCATCACACCACGTAGGTCTTTCGCTTCGCCTGTCTCTCAGCTAGTTTTATCGATCAGCGCCATCAGCAATCACCCGTCAACGGGATTGATCTGGAGAGCCCAAATCGGCAACGAACCCAGTTAAGCTGGGGTCGCAGTTATAATAACAATTTTAACCTATTATTCACTCTTCTTTAACTCTTTTTTAACCCTACTCTTTTTAACCGCAAGGTATAAAATTGCGATTATCGCGGCCTCAGCTTGACTGGGTTCGTTGCCGATTTGGACCCCCAGATCAATCCTGCTGACGGGTGATTGCTGATGGCAAAATATCGATAGAACTAGCTGAGAGACAGGCGAAACGAAGGACCCGCGTGGTGTGGTGGTGAACGCGCTACTCCCCGGAAAGGACAATAGCGTGTTCGTTCCCCACCGCACACACCTGCGGTCCGGAGTTTTGCAAATATCTCAGCATCATTGAAGTTATATTTCACAATGTATACCCTGCCGTTAAAAAGAGTAGGCAGTAAATAATAAGTTAAAACATGCGAAACGTTCGAAGAGCACAGTGGACGATGAAAGTGATGAAGACGAATCGAAAACCCTCTTGAATTCCTGGTTTTAAATAACATATTACCATTTTACAGTCAGCTCTCACCTGGATCCAATAACGATTGTTCGGATAGCTGGCAATATTCTGTTGCATCCAGAGATAGTTCTGCATGAGATAGTCGTTGAGATCCTCACAGAATTGCTTAGCTCCATCACAAAATCCATCGACTGTGTTCGAGAGATGCAGACGAATCAGCTCTCTTGTCGCTCTACCTGCAATTGCATTACACTCAACAGGTCATCTGCACCACTGCTAACGCCTTCCAGTAATGAATCGAGTCGTTCATGAGTAACGTTAAGGAAACAGAACTGAACGTGATTAAATGAACGACTTCGGAGGGCCAACAGATGCATCATATGTTATCCGATTCAAAACGTCCAGCGCCATTTTATCGACACCGAGCGGGAAATCGATCCCCACTTTCCCAGAAGCTTTTTTTTCAGCTGCATCCAGGTGGATAAGAGATTTTGTCCACTGTTTGGCGCTCTGCTCTATTATAGGTCATCGAAAGTGAACCAACATTATGCTGGTCTTCCTTCAAACAGCAGCTGTTCTTGTGCTCTCAGCGAATTCATTTAGATTGCCACTATTTCGCTACTTACTGAGCTACGAATTCTCGGATTATGTAGGTAACGAGTTCAGCGGTGAAAACGACCCAAAATTCGACTTGTACCATCAATCATCAATATCCGTTCCATTAGAATCTTACCTAGTACTTTTTAGATGCTACGGATAGCAATCGAGAACCGACAAAATTATTCCGTGCCATCAGTCTCAAACTTTAACAAGTTTCATAAGACTGGGTCATTGGTGTACCTTCGGTAATCTAACCTACTGCGGCAATAATAGCCTGGGATTAAATTGAAACAGAATTACCAGTGGTGGATTTTACAGCACCTCAAAATAAAACGCTCCTATAACTAGTTAAAATGACAGGTAAAATCATCAAAGGCGTTGACTGAAGAAGAAAAACAGAATTGATTCAGACAAGTTTTCGGTTTAAGGAAACCGGTCATATTACTATCCACCAAGCACCAACTGTTATACATCTAAATCTCAATAAATCCCACTCTATCTTCTCCTTTTGTGGAATGGTAGCTTAGAAAAACCGCGACCGAAAACGGTCACTTAACCGAAAACATCTTGCCACTACCTTCATCCTCAGCTCATCTACACTTCATTAACACATACTGGACAATGTGTTCGTGGCAAACGTCGACCATCTACATCCGCAGATGGAAACACTTTCAGGATGAGAGAATGCGCTAGGTTGCTCAAACAAATGAGAATTTTAGAATATATTTGTTTTAATATATTTTTTATTAATAAAGTGTCCTTTGCACCTTGCAATATTATATACCACTAGAAAGCCGATTTTGTGCTCTTTCTAACCATGTCTTTATATATTTTTTATACTTTCTCAAAAGTTAAATTTTTTTTATCAACTTGAAGCTTTGCAATTTTGGATGCCAAGAACGAATTTTCGTTAAGTTTTCTTTTAAGGGTTCAAACTCGGTTGTAGTGCAGCACAGACGGCTCGAAACACTAATGAAGTTTAGGGTGAAGGTATTGTTAGTGAATCAACAGTGCGAACATGGTTCCGGAAAATCCGATCTGGTGATTTCGACGTAGAAGTTAAGGAAGGCCGTGGACGTTCCAATGAACTTAGTAACGATGAATTAAAGACACTGGAGGAAGCAAACACGCGAACAACTGTTTGACGACTCGCAGAACAGTTTGTCATAGGCACAGGAAGAATTCGCACTTGAATCGCATGGGAAAGACAAAAAAACTAGACTATTGGGTGCCAAACGAATTAAACGATAATCAAAAAAGTCGCTGTTCTCAAGTGTCGTCCGCTTTTATTTTGCTTAACCAAAACGACCTTTTTGAACGAATTGTGATGCACGACGAGAAGTGGATTCTGTACAACCGACGACGTTCAGCTCAATCATCATCAGGATTGCGATCAGGCCCTACAGCCTGTTTGGTGGTCTGCAACAGGGTTGATTCATCGCAGCTTTTGAATCCAGACGAAACGATTACGGTAGGGAAGTGTTGCTCACAAATCGATGAAATGCGTCATAAACTCCAACGACAACAATCGGCACTACCCAATAGAAAAGGTCCAATCCTACACGACAACGCCCGGTCTAACGTTGTGGAACTAGCGCTGCAAAAGTTGAACGAGCTAGGCTACGTAGCTTCGCCTCATCCACCAAATTCATCATAACACTCGACTACCGACTATTCCTTCTTCAAGCACCTGGCAAGCACCTTGACAACTTCCTAAGCGAAAAATGCTCCACCAACTATGATGACGCAAAAAATGCCTTCAACAAATTCATCGCTTCCAGAACTCTAAATTTTACTCGCTCGCACAAATGTGTGTATTCAAATGGTTATTACTCTGATTAACAAAGCCTTGTTCGAAGCAAATTAAGACATTTTAAATAAGATAGCTAAAAACGCGCATTTATTTCGGAACAACCTAATACCTCGCGGACGTCGCTGTGCACGAGACACAGTATCACCATGACTGACGGTCACATGAGAAAAAACGAATGGAAAATGTGTTGGGGCCCATAACTATTATTGAAGACGAGCCATGTGAGAAACCAAGTGCCCAAATATATGTTTACAACACCTGTCAATATTGTGACACCCTTTCCCCAATCGAAATTTGCACCTCTAAGACGACCTTGAAAAAAAATAACAGAGAAGCCGAAATATTTTTTGAGCAATGCATGGCAAAGACTGTAAATAAATAAATGAGGACAAAAGAACAGAGCACTCGGCGTTGATCAATCCCTGATGGATGCGCCATACATTCGACCTCATTAAGCGTCGTTGGAGTTGGTGAAATGCATGTCTGGCCTTCACAATGACTCGCAGTGGCCTACCGATGTACCGAGCGAGTGTTGCTATCCTCCCAGACAAGAGTGGTACTAATTTGTACAGCCCGAAGAAATAGAAGGCTTATTGAGCCTTGGACGCGGAGATCTATCCCATGTGTATTGCAGGGCGCCTCCCACCACTGCGCTACACACGCCTTTCACAAAAGCGTAACAATTTATAACCTTCGAGCACTTCAAAACCCCAGTTGAATTCATTTTAAACATAAAAGAGACACAAAATCAAAACTTTAAGATAGATATAAAGGCACAAGATTGGCGACTGAGCACGTCCCCAATTAACCTTCAAATATAAATTCCCTCCATTTTCGTCCTCGTAAATGCCCAACTACGAAAGCAGTCGATAGTACTGATGAAAAGTGGTACCTGGTAGACATGTCCATTCTGCTGAACAATCTATACATTATCCTAGAAAATACTTACTTCTTGACAAACCTTTGTATGTACCGAAGAGCATTCGCCTTTCAATTCTTTATATTCTTGTTGAGCGAACGCGATCTATTGTTTTATTCCTTATTCAGGCACAAGCTGACGTTTCGGCGGATTTCGCCTTCTTCAGAGCCTGGGAAGGTCAAGTTAACAGCAATCTATTCGGCGAAACACCTCCATAACCAAACAGAGAAAACACTAAACCAAGATTTTAATCACATCGAACACAGAATAGCTTCTTAGCACACTCACCGCTTTTCACGAATCTTCGACTGAGTTTGTCGCGTGGAGACCAACCGCACAGAATTCACATGGAAGCGTAATGTGCCCCTCCCATTAGAATAACTGGCTTATAAACTGTCCAATACCACGCGTAATAATGAGGCATTCTTCCCAGCGGTTCATTTTCGGATTCTTGGAATTAATCCAGAAGGCATCGAGAGTTTTGCGCGCTTATGTTCTCGATTCCTGCACGAGGATCGTAACCCCTACTTCAAAATCTTCTACATTATGTATTTGCGTCCTGTGCGTGCCTAGTAGAGTATTTGGTTTACGTTTACCGACTAGCTGTTCTTTTATATGAACGCAGAGTGGTTTACCCGTCTCGCCAACGTATTCGTCCCGCACACTTTACAAGAGATCAGATAGACTGTACTCAAACTTATGCAGTCACCGTCTCTACCATTAGCGCAAATTATGCAATTTTGCGTTGCACATAGGCGGGTCATACAGGCGGTTACGAACTAGCTGGCGCCTAAGAGTACTCAGTGGCATTTAAACTACGTTTACCGAATTCGCTAGACCCGCCTTTCTTAAGCAGCGTTTTATAGCTGCACTTACATCATTTGAGATAAAGGGTAGGATAAACGGAATCTTTTATTGCTAGAGTTGTCGTTTGTCGTTTGAGGAGTTAGGATTTCCCCTACACCTAATCCGAGCTACAGTTTCATAGCCATTAGAAACGGCTTTGCCGTGCCAAGTTCCGAAACACCTCTCTCTGCTCCCTTCCCGTTCATACGTTGGTTGCTTTTCGAAACATGTTTCTTATTTTCGTGTGAGAGGGGTGAGAGGAGAGGTAATGAGCCGTTTCGCCAATGTATTCGTCTCCTAATAGGAGACGTCTCCGTCTCTTCGCATTCTAAGGACTACGAAACTGTAGCTCGGGATAGGTGTAGGGGAAATCCTAGGCCCCCAAACGACAACTCTAGCCATAAAAAAGTGCCGTTTATCCTACCTTTCAACACAAATGATGTAAGTGCAGCTATAAAACGCTGTTCAAGAAGGGTGGGTATGGAGAATTCGGTAAACGTAGTTGAAATGCCACCGAGTAATCTTAGGCGCCAGATAGTTCGTAACCGCCTATATGACTGTCTATGTTCAACACAAAATTGCACAATTTGCACTAATAGTAGAGACGGTGATTGAATGAGCTCGGGTACAGTTTATCTGATCTCCTGTAAGACGTGCGGAGACGAATACATTGGCGAAACGGGTAGACCCCTCTGTGTCGGCATAAAAGAACACCTAGCTGGCAAACGTTAGCCAAATACCCACTAGGCACGCATAGCACCCATAGACATAACGAGGAGGCTTTTGAAGTACGGGTCACAATCGTCTCACAAGAATCGAGAATGCAAGTGCGCAAAACTCTCAGGCGTCCTGGATTAATTCCAGAAATCCGAAAATGAACTGCAGAGAAGAATGCCTCATTCTCACGCGTGATACTGGGCAGTATATAAGCCTGTTATCTAAGGGGTTGGACACATTACGCTTCCATGTGAATTTTGCGCGGTTGATCTCCACGCGACAAACTCAGTGGAAGACTCGTAAAGAGCAGTGAATGTGCAAAGAAGCTATTCTGTGTTCAATGTGGTTGAAATCTTGGTTTATCATTTTCTCTGTTTGGTTATGGAGGTGTTTGGCCAACTAGATTGCTGTCAACTTGACCTTTTCAGGCTCTGAGGGATGTGAAATCGGCCGAAACGTCAGCTTGTTGCTGAATAAAGAATAAAATAACACTTCGCGTTTGCTCAACAAGAATACGAAGAATTACTTGATCAATGCTGAAGTTAATAGAAAGTCGGTCGTGGGATTCGCCTTTTATTCGCCAGACCCCCTCCGCCAGCTAGTTTCGAACTATTACCACAGATGCGGTGTGAAATTATTCAAACATTGTTGTATATGGGGAATACTTACTGAACTCATATATAGTTCGAGGAGAATAGCCTCGGAATTGGCAGTGTTAATGATACTGGTCCACTGCACCCCGTAGAAGCGCTCATGGAAC